TATCATCATAACTTGATTAGAATGTTATCTTTATTTTCATCTTAACTCCATTAAATAAGATGAAAGCTTTCAGAACATTTGCAAAATGACTGTCAATTTCACAATATGGTATGCATCAAAGTACCATATGCGCTAAGCGGGGAGGAGCACTTGATGGGCTGCTATGTCAACTGTAAATTGAGAACTGCTTGTTTTTTGGCTTTTACTATTAAAATTGCTGGTTTTTAATATACACTTTAAAAGATACTCATGTCTGGGAGAGAACTTTTAAAAACATACTGTGTTTAATTTTTTTAAAATTTCTAATAGGAATCTAAAAGAAGGTAGGTCAATCCACAGCACTAGCTATTCAGTAGAACCAATTATTAAAGAACATGATATTAATGGCATTAGATCTTAGATCTTATTATCCCCATCCCAATGAATAAGTGTACTACTGCTTTTAGTACCCATTCCCCTACTGAGAACTTTCAGTCTCTCAGCATACCATCTTCTCAGATCTCTATAGGGAAGTGGTATAGTTCCTTATCTATAAGAGGTTTCTGACTATATTGTACTAGCCTCTCTGTCAAAGCATTTCATCATATAGACCTAAGAATATTATAGAAAGTCATGCCTGAAACAGGACGGTCTGGGAAGCCCCAGGATTCAACACTTTTCTGTAGGTATGATATGAAAGCAGTTCTGGAGGAGGATGTTAGGAATCTGTTACTGGTCTAGGTTTACATTTAAGTGGATGCCTAAATAACAGCACTTTGTAAGATCTTAGGTCCCCATGTTTTCTCTTACACAAGGCTCTGGAGGGTCACCTGCTGGGCCAGACAATGGCTTGGGAGGCAGAAGCTGGAATGAGGAGGGATTCTATCTTTGATATGAAAGCAGTTCTGGAGGAGGATGTTAGGAATCTGTTACTGGTCTAGGTTTACATTTAAGTGGATGCCTAAATAACAGCACTTTGTAAGATCTTAGGTCCCCATGTTTTCTCTTACACAAGGCTCTGGAGGGTCACCTGCTGGGCCAGACAATGGCTTGGGAGGCAGAAGCTGGAATGAGGAGGGATTCTGACAACTCTAGCTACAGACCAGAGCATCTACCTTATGTGGGTTTGGATTGGACCACTGCTCGGGGTCTTTCTAGCTCTTCAAGTCCACTAACCACCTGGCCCTCCATTTACTCCTGCCCTTTTGTATTTGCTACATTGTAAGATCCACAAGGACAGGGAATGAATGTGCTTTGTTCATATTTATATTCCTACTATTTATCCCCCACCTTTAACCTTGTGTTAGATGATAAGGAAGAACCATCTTAAAGAGTGAAGGGGCTCACCTTAGGGTTCATTTTAGTTTAGCTTGGGAAGCTATAGTTTGACAATTACCATTCAGTTAAAAAATTTTAAATTATAAAAAATTATAATTATGTAAATAATATTTAATTATACAAAATTATAAATAGTATAATGAGTCCCTATGTATCCACCCATCCCTTCTAAGAAGGATTTTCCATCTCTTTTGCCACACACTAGATAAATAGCTAATAGAATGCATCATTCTTGAATCTTCTCTGTTGAGTACAAAACCTGCAGTATTTATGGTGTTGGGTGGTATTCTGAGCCTCCTAAGTCATAATCTTGAACTATTGTTCTCACTAAATGCCCTTTTTAGCCTTAAAATTTTTGATTATGTTTTATCTTTTATTAAGATGTCAAGGTCCAGCCCTTGAGAGTTGTTCATTGTTAGGAGAGGAGGGTCTTTTCTGAACAAGTTTTAATCTCAAACTAGCAAAAATGTATTCTTGGTTAAACATTTTATTAAATGGGAGTACTTTTGAGTATCACATAAGCCTTGTAAACAGACCAGTTGAAATGTTTTAATTTGACTTAAGTATGTACAAACCTTTGAAAGTCTGAAGGAGAAATTTTAAAATTATACCATTAAATACATTCAATAAGCTGTTTTTTTAGCATCTGTATTTTATAATAAAATTAATCCTGCTGCTTCTTTACTAGTTAGGTCACAAGGTTATGTTTTAAAAGGTCCTAAAATAGTTGCATCCAGAGTATAGTACTGGGTGATAACTTCTAATGGAAAGCTATTCATTGCTCTTATGCAAATTAGGTGGCCCTTATATTTGCCTTTATCCCCATTCCATAGAACAGCAGTCGCCGGGTCCGAAAGGTTGGCGACCGCTGCCATAGAACTACCTGTGTGCCTCTGAAGCTGAGCACAAGCTGTAATAGTTGCCTTTGAGTCCATATCGTTGTGAAAACAAGAAATTCTCTATTTGAGTATACTAATGTTTATGAGCTATTTCAGTAATTTTTGGATATGAATTAAGAATATGTAGTTCCCATTCATTACTTTAAAGGAAGAGACTCTCTTGTTATAAATTTGATAAAACTTTTTCACTTTATGTTCAAGCACCCATGAGGTAATTTTCACTCATCTAGCAGTCTAAAGTGACCACACAAAATGTAGGTTAGTTTTACCTTTACTGGTAAACCTGAGGTGTAGATTTTAGACACATTTTTGGTTTGCAGCACAACAGTAGGCATTCCTGTAAATTAGTTTGAGAAATTAATTTTATTTTGTACAAGGTATGATCCCTCTGCACAGTGAACAAATATATTACAAGTCTGCGTTGCTTAAAAAAAGTATTGCCATATCAGTCTCACTTATGCTGTTGTACAATGATTGTTTTCTTTATTCATTTGAATTATATGCACATCACTTTGAGTGAAGACTTAGTTTCTGTATAATACTTGAACATATCTTTCCAAGTTGTCAATAAAATGCACATGTTTAGGTTGACCATGAACTTATTTGTGACAGTGCTAGACAGAAGTTCCTAACAGTTGCTCTATAAGATTGAAATGTCTCTTACCAGTAACTCTTAGGTATGTGAAGACAACTGTTGTCACCATCAAGTAATCACACCCTCTGTCTTTCCCTTTTCCTGTATTGCCTGATTTAATTTGTGGTACCTTTCCTTAAAAATCAGAATGCTAGAGTTGAAGGGTTTTAGGGTTCCCTTACCCCTATTTGCTTCTTCCTTTTTTTACACACAGGGGAAAAAGAGCCCAGAGAAGGCAAGTAACACTCAAATCTCTTGATCCAGTGCTTTAGCAATTCCACCATGCCACCTCTTGCTGAAATTTGCCTAGAAGACAGTTGGCAAAAAAGAGGTGAAACTTGAACTTGAGTGATAGTGCTTGTTTGCAGTTTGCCAGGCAGCAGTTACTGTACATGCAGGGTAAGGGAAGAAGATAAAACCTGGGTTTGAGATGAAGTTCTCCTTGCTGATCTGACTTCACCATGATTCTTAGTTCTTGCTTCACAAAGGTAATTGAGCACTTGCTGCCCTGAAATACTGAGGTAAGCCTCTTATCTATATTTTTTTCTACATATGTATGAGAAATATTTACTTGGGTCTACAAAGTAATTTTCTAGTATTTATATTTAATAAGACTTTTTGGAAAGTAAATTTGCTATTGCTGATTGCTTGCTCCCATGCACACATGCAGCATTCATGTTAAGTATTAGATTATTTTCCCCTAACAACATTTGCTTAGGCCTTGAGTGAAGTGGGGGAGGGGGGTTATTCATTTTTGTCCTTGCTTTTGCTGATTATTGGCCAAACTAATGGGTTCCATGGCAGACTTCCAATTTGTATCAAGGACTTCAGAACTCCCACACTTCCTGTAGCAGCTATTCCAGCTTTGCAGTCATGTACTTCCTCTTCTGTATACCTTTTGGAAGTATTTTTACTGGCAGAACTATTACCAGAGAATGGAGTGGTATAGGGGTGCCCATTAGTTTTCATGGTTTGCCCTTTCAGTCTTTAATTCTTGTGAGGAGGTCCTCTTTAGGGCCTGGGAGCTGACTCCATTTAGACTCACCTGAGCCTATTTACCTATGTTCATTAGTAATGGAAGGTATAGATATGTCTGAATACTGGGATCTGGAGCATTAGCTCATTGTAATTCAGTTTTGGCCATCTCAGCAGGTGGTGGGTTTAAGGTAGAAAGTAAAAGTTCTTCATGTCCTTATGTGCTGTTTACTATAAAGTTTTTACATCATGTTACAGCAACTGATTATAGTCCATTCTTTCATCATTTCAATTTAATTCCATCAGAAAGCATAATGTACTTTAAGCAATTTTAACTTGATATATCCTCTTTTGTTTAATTTCCTCTATACCAGGGGTGGGGAATGTCTGATTTGTGGGCCGTATAAAGTCTGAGAAATCATTTGTTCTGGCCCTGCCCAGGCATTAGTGGTGAGTTAATTAAATGTTTGACCAAATATAACAGGCTAATTTTAAGTTGATAATTTTGTATGGCCTGCAAATGATGTTATAATTATCTAAATGGCCCTTGGCAGAAAAAGGGTTCCCCACCCCTGCTCTACACTTCTAGTTCCATATTATATCCAGCTCTAGATTTATGAAGAAATGCTTGAAAGCAAATACTCTTCTGAGTCAAGGAATGCCAACCGAATAACCTTGATTAGAGGCTAAATAGCCATTTTTAGGGATACTTAATTCTTATCAGCCTGTGACTGCTTGCTTAAAGCATCACAGTTTTATTTCCCATGGAATGACTCAGGTGTTGGGTGACCAAGGAGATATGACAAGGCCAGGGCTGAGTTGGCAATGTTCTGGAACTTTGAATTGGCAAGATTTGGTCAAAACCGGCCAGAAATATTGTTGTAGACTGAAATAGGCTATTGAGCTTTGAAAACACTTTTCTTCTACTACCAGCAGGGGCAGAAGAGGGAAAGTTAATTTGTATTTATGTATTATTATTATTTTAGCTTTCAGTTTTATTGGTTGCATATAGCTGAACTCACAAACTCTGGTTCATTCTTAAAATGTTCTTTAAACTGAAATTGACTCTTAGAAAAAGGCTTCATCTATACTATTTTAGATAGCAAAATGCAGGTTCTTGAGTATCCTGATATACTTGGTGCTAATAAGAGAAGTATGGATTCTAATTTCTCATCTGAGATGTTAAGCCAGGTTCAGTGCTACACATAATTTGTGTTTATTTAAATCTTATTTTAAAAAATTGAAGTTGTTAGCATTAGACTACATAATAATCTGTAATCTTGGCCATTGTAATTTGATAGACCAGACATATATGTACAGGTACTTTAGGATTGATATTAGCACAGTTTTTTGTCTATGTACTAATTATCTTAGGTAATCAAACAGATGTTGATGGTAACAGCAACCAAAAGTACATATACTAGTACATTTTAGGTATTTTAAATTAATCCTCTCCCCTCCCCAGTCCCCCTTTCCTCCTAGGAAGGTTTATAAAACCTATTCTACATGCTCTTTAAGCATCATGTTTCAGATAATTAAATATATAAATAAATATAGTTAGCTATATTTAGCTGATGTTGATGAGTAGCTGTATCTTAAATGTTTTAAAAGATCATGTAATCCATTGGGGGTTGGGTGGGTGATAGGATTTACCTTTGCAAACAGACCTTTTGAGCAATTACCCCAGTCCCACTTGGAAGCTCTTCTTTAGTTCCAGGTGAAAGTAATAACTAACACGCAGCTGAAGTCAGTCTGTACCATTATTTCAGGTCAGGGGATTGTCTTCTTTCAGAGTCAGAGAATATTCAGCAGAGCACATTGCAAGAGAGAAGCTTATCCCTCTTAAGACTGCTTGTCCTGGGAGGGCTCATTGGCAGGACTCAGTCTTTCTGGGAGGAGGTCATAATGACCAGGAATATGGCTGTTCCTAGGTAGGTCGTATGGATTCTGGAAATAGCTGGAGTTGGGACCACGGCCTTCTTGGACCACACTGACTGTGGGCTCTAAGGAATATAGTGAAAAATGAGTTCAGAGAACAGATTAGCTTTGGTTGTCATGTTGGGGGGAAGAGAGTTCTATTTAACTGGGTGGTGAGAGAAGCCAGGGATTTATAAATCTGTGATAAATATGAGGGTTAGGACTAATGCTAAGAGATGGCAAACATAAGTGAGTGTGCTGTCAGAATCCCATCCAAAGCTTGGTCAAAACCAGAGATTTAGAATGTCTTAAATATTTAGAATATTTAGAATGGGTGGGTCCTTAATTGTGGCGTAAGGTTTTCACTGCTATTCTTAGCACTGAGCCCAGGCACATGGGTTAAACTGGGAGAAAATAGAAGGTGGTGATTTAGAAAGTTAATAAATATTCTGTTCTGATTGTTTTCTTTTTTAAACTGGGATTTGTATCAACAATCAGTTGAGGTGTATGTGTGTGTACCCACTCCCCACCCCCAGTATTTCTGCGTCATACTAGTCCTGGTATGTTTCTTTTTTTAAAGCAGAGTTGGCACAAGAATTTGATTTTCTGCATGAGAGAGGAGGGTAGTCCTGGGGAAGGCAGTTCGCCTTGGATTCCTTAAAAAGCAATAAAAAGAAAAACGTGTGTTTTCAAGACAGGGTGAGTAGAGAGGGGTTGTTTTTATTTCAGATGCTGCACTATTGCCCTGATTTTGCTAAGTTACTTATTTGAGACACCTACCAACTTCATATATATTTTTATTAGATGTCGACAAGGATGGCACATCTGTGTACGGAGACCCCCTGTGCACAGGTGACTTCATTTCTACATAGCTGCTTTCTGGAAGCTTGCAGCTGAGGATGGGTGGGTCCTTAATTGTGGCGTAAGGGTTTTCACTGCTGTTCAAGGAACAAGTGCTAGAACTGCACACGGATTCTTTCATGTAATCTGCAAGGCAAGAGAGATTTCTTAGTATAAGCAAGGACATAAGACGTAGTTTAAATACCAGAAACAGACTGCAGTCAAGTTCATGTGCTTTCAGGATCCTGGAGCTGTAAAAGCCTGTGATAGTCCAAGATTTACTTAGGAAAGCATTCAACGTACTTAATAAGTAGGCAGAGTTCTTTTCCTAAAAAAAACTTATGTTTTTGGAGGGATAGGAACATTTTTGTTTTTAGTAGTCAGGTATAGCACCAGAGAGATTAATTTAAGATATTCATAATGTACTTTCACATCTATTATTTAATGTTTACAAAATCCTGCAAGGATAGTTGATAGTTTGCATTTTATAGGATGAAGGCCCAGAGAGAGATGAAATGTCTTGGCTAAGGTCACACAGCTCATAACTGGCAGTGCCAAGACTTAAATCTATGCCTTGGGACTACTTGGCTGTGCGTTTTCTGTAATACCATTCTTTCTGAATTTGTTCTGATGATTAAGATGCTTAGGTTCAGAAGAGGTTTTGTGTGTGTGTGTGTGTGTGTGTGTGTGTGTGTGTGTTTTGGCACAGGTGCTAGCAATTTGGTATCCTTTCAGCAGCAAATTGGCTGCATCCCTGTTCTCTGAGAAGCTTGTGATCAGAGGTGGGGCAGATAGAAGTGTAATAGAGGTCTCAGAAACACCTGGGTCTTCAGCTAGCCTTTGGAAAGTTCCTATTTTCTCGCAAGCCTGCAATGTATTCTCTGGGGTTATTTACCTCAGTTCTTGTGAATGCTAAATGAAACCTATTTTAATAATAACTTTCTCTGATACTAAGGGAACTCATGCTTCCTCTCCTGCCACCCCTCAGGCATGCATCATCCTCCATACTTCAAGGAATGTTAGGGTAAAGAGATACAAACTAGTTTCCCAATATAAAGCCAGGTAACTAGCTCCACTAGAGAAAGTTCACTTTGTGATGGAGTCACACGAGGAAAGGGGAGCCCTTCCTTCAATCTCTACCCCATTCCCCTTTTGCAGATGATCACTGCCTCTTGTAGATTGTCCCAAGTGATCAGGGCTTTATTACTCTTACTCTCTGTGACCTGGCAGTTCTGGTCCTCATCTGTCTGAGGCTCTGCCAGCCTTGGGGGTGGGGGTAGGGGGTGGGGAGAGGGCGCGTCTAGAAACAAGCACTGAGTTGGAGGGGCTTGAAAGTCGAGAGTGATCTAAATCGCCTTTCAATTCTAAATTTCTACAAGTGGTAGCAGGTGGTGATATTCTTGGATGATCCTTCTCTAGAACTATCACAAATTACATTTGGGTTGCTATTTATCTCTGCTTTCTGCTTCCAACTTGTGAAATTGATGGAAATGTAAAGGGAAAGTGATCTTGTAACTTGAGGGGTGACTAGATGAACCTTTGTACAGTGAGAACAGAACAGAACATGCCATGTGGCTGAAGTAGTTGAGGTATGTGTTACCACAAGTAGTCTTTTCTTCCCTAATGGTGATTGTGAGGGGATTTACTTTTCTGTTGGTGTAGAGTTGATGTCTGTTTCAGCAGGTAGCATTTCTTCAATCCTGTACAAAAGTACATTGACCTATTAGTTCCTTCAAGTGTTCATAACACCCTGTGGTGTAGGTAGAGCAATAATATGATTCTCGCCCCTCCCCCCATTGCTTATGAGGAAATTGAGGCTTCATATGGGGAAATGACTTCTCTAGGGTCATACTGCTAATCAGTAGCAAAGCAAGCTCTAGAACCAGGCTCAGAACACTTTTCCATCACAACTTAGCCCACAGTGGAGAGGGATATTGTCTTGGCTCCATCTTAGATTATGGCCTCTTTCTAGCATAAAACCCTAGACAAAAGGAGAAAACATTCTTGCTAGACAATGAGCAGGCTCAGCCAGCCCCACCAAGGACTAAAGGGAGGCTGCATTGTCCCAGCTGCTGTTGAGGCTCAATGGGGAAGGGGTATCTATGGGTCCTGTACCACGACCTGCTTCTAGTGAGTACTTTGTTTCTTCCAACTGGGAGTGGGGCTAAATCCAGGAACCCTGGTAGTATGGCTCATTGGTCCCACTTTGGGTGTTCTGAACTTACCAGCCAGGGAGTAAGGCAGTGTGCCTCAGTGGCTTGTTTGGAAGCTGAGGATTGGAATTGCTTAAAGAAGGACTGTCTCCTGAGAGAAGTCCTAACAACTCACCCCTCCTGTCCTCCCAAATACATCCATTTACTTTGTTTGGCAGCTGCCTCAGTTGCATATTTTCTAGAACAGCGGTCGCCAACCGGTGTGGTCCGTGGACCACTGATAGTCTGTGAGGTCCGAAAGGTTGGCGACCACTGGTTTAAGGAAATCTTTGGATCAGCGGTCGCCAACCGGTGGTCCGAGGACCACTGGTGGTCCGTGAGGTTCGAAAGGTTGGCGACCACTCTTCTAGAACTTAAGGAATATCGATAGCTCACTTTGTGTGGCACTTAAAACTAGTATTTCGGGTTAGTCATTTGAAACTTGTTATATCTGTGAAGGAGGCTGGGCAGGAAGGACTAGTATTACTACTCTAGAAACGTGGAAACTGAAACTCATAAAGTTTGCTTAATGTTAGTAAGTAGTTAAGACTCAACCCCTGTCTTCTCTGATACCCAATCAAGGTGTTTTTCTCTCCTATCAGTTTCCTTGTGCTCCTGTGCTCTTCTCCAATATCTGTACTAAATGCAAAGTATATCTGCAACAGCTTCACCTTACCTTCAGGGAACACCTTTTATCTATAGGGCCAAGCCCTGCTGAAGAAGAAAGGCCAAGCTCTAAGCTTTTCGTGGATATCCCTTGACTGATTCAGGGATAAGGCAGTGTGCCTCAGTGAGGAGAGCCTTGGCAGTGGGAGAGCCATGGAGCTCTAGCTCAATGCCTAATAGAGCCCCAGCCAGGCAATAGTGCCCCTCTTTTAATTTCCACCAGAAAAGTCATGGCTGTTTCAAGTTTGGGGGAATAAATTGATCTGCAGCAGGGGACACACCTAAATGGATAAAAGAGAAGTTGGGGTTGTGGGGGAGGTGATTAGTGTCAGGGGGAAGCTGTGTTTTCCATAAAGAGGTCAGCAGTAAAGAAAAGGATGAAATGTGTGAGTGTGCACGTGCGCACGTACGTATGTACGTACGTACGCGTGTGTGTGTGTGTGTGTGTGTAGGTGAAGTGAGGTGGTAGGGAAAGGTATTGAGTTATGGAATAATCTGGATTCTGGAACTGGTAGTTGGGGGACATCTAGGCAAGCGGGAAGCTACTCCCTTCTCCAGCTGAGTCATCTACCTGCCTGCCCAGAGGGAGGGAGATGAGGGGGAGAGGGCAGGACAAGGGGAAGAAGAACCAGCTGCTCTAAGATATTTCCTCATCCTTTTAGAGTTCCACCCTTCCGCCCCTCCCCAAGGCCAGTCCCTGCACTTCAGGGCATTTTACTAAGAAAGGGGAAGCATCAACCAAGGCTACCCAAGCTCTGGGGAGTCAGTCACTCCTCCTAGCCTGTAATTAGTATTAATATTAAAGGGTTAGCCCAATAATGCCCTAGCATTTGCTCTCAGCTAGTTCCTACCTCCCAGAAATCACACACAGCCATATACTATAGGAGGCAGAGGGAACTCTAAAATCTAATGTAGACATCTTAATTTGTAAAAGGGAGCAGCAAACCAGAAGGGGAAGTGACTTTCAAAGGCCACCTTGTAGGTGGGATCTGAATTTACCAGGGCTTTAGGTTCAAATAACATCTAGCTAAGGCCAATATTTTACTGTTGGGGAAAACCTTAGGAATCCCATCTTAGCTGACTACTATTATTAGAAGGCCACACTGCCTTTTTCTGGGCCTGAAGTTAGCATCTTCTCTGGATTGAGAGACAAGGATATGGGGAGAGGAAAGGGAAGATATCAGTCAGGAGAACCACAGTAGTTGAAAAAAGTTTTCAGGATATCAGTGGGCTCCTAACTACCTTGGAACCCAAGGCAACTCCAAGAAGAGACTTGGTTAGATTACCAAAGGGCATAAGGTGGGAAAAATGGCAGCAACGGTGGAATCCAGGATTTCAGGATCATGAAGGTGATGGAGGGTATTGGGGAAGATTTCTTCTACAGCAATTTGAAATGCCTGATAGACAAGGAATTGAACATGAGGTAGTTTGTTGCCAAATCATTGTGCAAAGGGGGAGTTCAGAGAGTACTTAAAGACTCTTCACTCGTAATTGTTTGGTCCAGTAGGTTTAGGAAATAAGTTCATTCCTGGTACAAACTAGTTTAGTAAGTGTTTATTTAGGAGGTCAGCCAGTTACTGTGGGTTTGTTCCATGTCTTTGATAAGTACTTCTGTAAAGTTTTGAAGTGGGACATTCCATTTTCCTCTTTGAATTCTCTTGTTCAGATATGTTGGTCCCCAACACATGCTGGTACATTTGCCTACACAGCCCTCTTTTCTCTCTAAGTTAAAGGACGATTGTAGCCACAGTGGTGAAACAAAATCTGCACTCAGAGGCTCAGATATATGACCACAAAACAGGAATGAATGACACTGAAGCAGAGACAGTGCTCTCCTTAGCGTTGTTTTATATTCATGGTTGCAAGTCTGAAAGTAGCTCTAATCACAATGGGCAGGACAACACAGTGCATAGGAAAGTTGTGTACTCATTTGTTGAGGTGTCTGGGCCTGTCTTGAGCTTATTTATGATTCAGTAATGCATATTTTTAGAGCTGGAAAGGCCCTTAATAATATTTCTGTCCAAACCTCATGCCTATTTGAGAAAGAAACAGGTCTCAGTTCACAGTGCTAAAGCAGTAGAGCTGTCTTTTCTGTATTAAGCCTTATACCTGCTGTAATGGTGCTTGCCTTCACTGGGATAGTTTAAGTCAAAACTCACAGAAAATTGCCAGAATAATGCTCCCAAGGGAGTGTTCGCTAGCTGGCCAGGAGCCTAGGGATGACCTGTCTCCAGATGATTCTCTTGAGCAGTGTGCACTCTAACATGCTGATGGAGACTCGCCCTTCCTGTCTCTTGCTCAGAGCGCACTTCTCACCACCACCACCCACCCTTAGCTCACCCCATTTCTAATAGCTACCTTACCAAGGGCTATAGATGACTAGCTCTCCTTGGTTAGGAAATGGTTGTGTCTTTGGGTGTGTCTGAGGTTGAGTTGGATAGACCAGAACAGTAATCCAGGAAATCTGGGTCAGTCTAAATCAGTGGTTTCTAAGTGTTAGTTGGGTCATTGCTGCATAGGAATACCCTGAGATGCTCTGTGCCAATGCAGATCCCAGGGCCCCACTTTAGATCTACAGCATCAGAATCTTGCGGAGATGGGGTATGAACATCTGTAGTTTTAGCAAGCTTTTCAGGTGATTCTAGGGCACAGCTAGATTTACGATATCCATTGGGACCTCTGCTGTCAGTCATCTCTTACTTGGTTTGGCTGAGACTCTTAAATAGACCTCAGAGACAAAAGGACAGCCTTGTTACAGTAGTACAATCCTTTACAATATGCAAAAACACTTCCCATCTGTGATTTTATTGAATACTATGACAGCCTTGCTAGACAACAGGACTATAGGCATAATTATCCCAACCCTATAGATGAGGAAACTGGGCCTTGGGGAGCTCACAGTCTAAGGTCTCAGTTAATAAGTGACAGAATAGCAAGTGACATGGTTCCAAAGCCACCTATTTCACACCTTCTGTCATTTAAACCTCGGGCCTCAGCCCAGGAACAGGACCTGACCTTTCATCGTGGCTTTACTCAGAGACTTCCTAGAAGGACGACCCGACTTGAGTTCCCATGTGTTGGGATTAGTCCTGGTGTCCCTGCTCTTGGGGCAGAGATTTCTTGAGGGTGGAGTGCCATTCATCATTAGGGTATCATTTTCATTTCCTTATGCCGCAGAAAGCCAGCAGGTGGCAGGGTGGCGTTCCTTACCAGTACAATGACAGGAGGCCTCTAGGGCAGGTAGATTGACTTTATTTCAGATTTTTAATCAGTTTAACTCGTACTAATTGGTTGGATAATGACGTTCTACATTTCCAAAGACATTTATTAGGCATCTATAAAAAACCCACAGCATTTGCTAAGCAGGTGCAACTGAGATCGAAAGATGAATTTATTATTATGGTTGCTCCTCCTGGGCGGAGCTACCCAGCAGCCCCAGGTCCTGTGGTCTTTTAACTTTTAAGGGGCTTGGGGGGAACAGGTGCGCAGTTCTCTCTGGTAGAATTTCTGGCCATTTCAGATCTGTACTCTTTATCTTGCTAAGCCCTTTCTAATGGGACGTCAGGATTGGATACTCTACCTTTGAAGCCTTTGTCCATAATGTATGTGTTTTGACGTCTATCCATTCCACAAGCACCTGCAGAAAGAGTATAAGGGAAGAAAAATATGGGTGTGTGTGAGGTTTACTTGGACTGCATGTGTAGGTTTCAATATTTTGTTTGCCTTTTTCTCTTTCTCCCCTACCCAGAAAGTAACTAGTTCTTTAATGCTAGAAAATTGTTCTGGGTTTACTTTACTCTAAATCTTTTTGGCCATATAGTAATTCTTAAAAGGCTCATAAGCATTAATGGTGAGCTACAGCGCCCCCTGGCATATTCAGCATTCCTCCTCTTTAACCTTCATTCTGAGAGGAATGTTTTACAGGAGGCGATCAAAGACAGTTCTGATGCCACCTACAGTCACTATAGGTGAAGTTCCAGGCTCCAAAAGTATATGATAAGGAATGAATCAGAACCCTTTTTAGCTTGGGAAGGATGCTTGTTGTTCCAAATCCTAGTTCTTTTGGATTTTAGAATAGGGTGGAAGACTGTTTCTTACCTCTCAGCTCTGGTCCTGCCTCTCCTCTTCTGGATCAGAAGCTTGACTGAGGGGACCCAGAGAGGGAGGTGGACAGGTGACTGAGGTCATCTTTATGGGATATACACTCATTCCCCATCCACAGTCAGCTTTCTTAGTTATTCCTTCCTTTTTGGGTGGACCATTTACAGCTAATTGAGAGCTGTCTCTGAAAAGTATTATCAGTGTTTTTCAATCCCAAGGATTTCTTTCCGCCCTTTCAGTTGTCACAATTTATCCTAGGCTCCCTCAGTGCATGGTCCTGAGCTCAAGCCACAGGCAGGACATACAGCTTTAGGGACGAAGGTCAGGTTCTTTGTAGCTGTTGATCCCAGAAAAGAAATTGTCTGGCATTTTTAGGTTGGAGCAGTAATGACACTGGCTCAAAGTCGGAGCCATTTCCACCCCCTACCCCCACCCCCAGCTTTTGATTGAAGACACAATATAGGCAAGACATGCAACAAGTGCTTACAGTTTGGCTCCTCTGGACTCATTAGTTTCTGATACTGACAAACCAACCTGTGGCTGTTTAGATACTCCCCATATCTCCTCCACATAGAGTTCCCAAGTTGAATTTATAGGAGTCTACTCTTGTCTGCCGGCCTTCCATACATTACTGAGTGATAGGGCAGAACCAGGTCTAAGGTTTTCTCAGGTTTGCTATTCTTCTACTGGCCAGTAAGTACCTGTGCCCTTCAGAAACATGACTGCAATAGTCTGTATCCCTGGCATTTAGGTCAGCATTTTACACCAGACAAGGGTTTCCTTTGCCCTCCCTGAGGGACGGAGGTTAGGCTATTCACTTTTCCCCTTTTCATATAACAGGAAATAGAGGCCCAAAGAGGGGCAGTGACTTGTCTGCGACCACACCAACAAGTGAGAAGTTGAGTTGCAACTAGACCTCTCCAAGTATTCTCTCCCATTGGCCACCAGCCTGGTTGGATAAAAACCCCCAAATGACTAAGTGGTGGCTCTAGCTACACTGGTTGAAGAGTGAGATCTCAGAGCAGGGAAAAATCTGGGCTGAGCCCAGAGGATGCTCCAATGTGGAAAAAGATACAGGGGGGTGGTAGTGTATGTGTGTGTGTGTGTGTGTGTGTGTGTGTGTGTTGCAAAGCTGAAGAGAGAAGCAGAGGAAGTCTGGGTGGATTGAATACTGCCATTACATGTAGCATTTTATCTTCCATAATTTTTGGTAATGCATTCATCCATTAATAAAAGCAAGCTTGTGTATTGATGGCTGTATGTCAATATTAATGATCAGAGTAACAAAACCATGCCTGAGGGTGGAGACTGAGAGACTGCAATGAAATCAAAGTGGGCACCGGGGGAGGAGATGTAATTGGTGGGGTTACTAAATGCCCTGGACACTGCCCATGAGCCCCATAGCCAAGAATACAGCCTCCTGGGTACAGGTCCAGGGTCTCTGCAGCCCATGCCTACTCAATCAACAGATGAATGGGAATCTTTATTTAGTGTTACCGGGTCCAAAGACCTGCAGGGGTTGATAGAGCTGTTTCCCTTGAGCTCTAGAAACCAGCTAGAGCTTGAGCTCAGGCCAAGGTTGTCCAGTGTGCTGAGGTCCTGCCCTAAAGGGGCACTTGTAGGGAACCCACATTCTCTGTTCATTCATAGCTCTTGCTCCTGTGATACCTCCTGTAACTTCTACCCACAATCTTCATTGCAGGACTGACTTTCCAAGTATCCTTTTTGCATATTTGCCAGGCTACCAAATTTAAACCTAATACATAAGCACAGAGGATGTTTGTTGACACATCCTGCCCCAGCTTCTCCGATCCCTACGGGACAGCCCTACCCTAGTATCTGGGAGAGCTTAGCCTAAGCCACTGGTGGGTCTGGGGGACATTGGGCTTTGGGTGAGAGAGCCTTCTGTTTGCCATCCACACTCAGATGACCCAGGTAACCCCAAAGATGTTGCCATCCTCAGGTCATTTCTCAATGGTTTTGGGTTGTAGTCTGTGGACTGCAGGGATTACAATTATGTTGTGTCCCCTTCCTCTAATACCAGTCATAGTTTGTCCACATCCACTGACCATGATGGGAGCAGGCAGGTCTCATTTGTTAGGGAATTGGGATTGTAGACTAATCATGTTTGGAGGGAGGGGGGTTTCAATGGGGAGAGTTCTTGGATGAATGGGGATGGGTCAAGCGAGGGGCAGGAGTGGGAGGTAGGGCCAGTGCTGAGTCTGGACTGGTATGAGAGTCTTAGGGATAGAGGGTAGGGCTGGGGTTGTCTAACCTGGTGAGTGTGGCTCAGCGGGGTGGCTGAGGTGTCTAAGTTCAATGTAGAAGTCCTCTGGCGGGTACCTGGCCTCCAGGGCACTGATCTGGAAATGGGAGTCTAGTGAGAGGAATGACAGGGAGGAGCCATTATTCCCAGGGCCCTGGTTTGGCAGGGGAGGGGATGGGGTCTGAGGGTCATGGTAGGGCAGGCTGGAAGAAATTAGGGCCCCTATGTGTAGCATCCAAAGGGGCTGGGGCCAGCAGGGCCTTGGGGATTTGCTAGAGCTGAGGCCATTGGCCTTGCTTCTCCACCCCCTCTACCCCTACCCCCATCCCACCCCTTATAGGAATTGGTGTCCACTAGAACAGTGGAAGAAACCCTTGAAAGGGGTACCTTGTTGGGGCCTGGGTCAGACAGGGGTTCCTTTTCTAGATGGTGAGTGCATCTTTGGCCTCCATCTGGAATCTCCATACCTGGGGCTCTAGTCATCTCTTTCCCTGGGTCACAGCCACCCTCTCCCTACCCCCTAATATAGGAATGAAGAGGGTCCTGGGCTTCATTTGCTTATAAGTCTGAAACAGGCACTTGGGGTTCCCCCCCACACCCTTTCTCCCTGGGGGAAATCATGCTCAGAATTCATCTACTAACCTTCTCTCTTAGAGCTAGGACAGGGCCCCCCTCAGTGCAGAGAAGGAGAACAGGGTAGGACATGATGGCAAGGGACCATAGTCAAACCACTACTGACCTAACACGTTCACATAGCTGTAAGGGGTCCAGCCTGCTGTGTCTCTGTCAAGGGACTTGTTACTGAGCTGTTTGGAAAGTAGGAGAGCCGGTTAATACCTAGTGCCTGGAGGTGCCCCCTGCCCAGACTTCACTCTTCCCAGCCTTGTGCACCCACCTATGTCCTAGTGTTGAGGGAAAGGGAGAGCTAGGTGTTCTGTGAGAGGCCACCTTGGTGTGGCTCATGGCAGCAGAGCAGAGCATACACCCATTTAAGCTGCCTGGCTGAAGCTGTAGGGTTTCCAGGTCTTTGGGGAAAAGGAGGGCAGGGGAAGGTCCTCCCAAGGGCAGAGAACCTGCCTGAACCAAGCTGATCCTGATAGGGGAAGTAGGTGGGCTCTGGCACTCTTCACCTGCAACAGGAGGCCATCTCCAGCACAGGATGGTGCTGAGGCCGCCTGCAACATCACTGGCACCTCGGCCACTAGACCGGGACTGAGTGTGAGAGTCTCCCTTTCATATGACCAAGGGAAAGCTTCAGGGTACGGTGTCCTTATGGTGTAATCCAGGGGTCCTCAAACTTTTTAAACGGGGCCAGTTCACTGTCCCTCAGACCATTGGAGGGCCGGACTATAGTTTAAAAAAAACTATGAACAAATTCCTATGCACACTGCACATATCTTATTTTGAAGTAAAAAAACAAAACGGGAACAAATTCAATATTTGTATTTGCATGTGGCCCGCGGGCCGTAGTTTGAGGACCCCTGGTAATCTTTCCTCTTCCTGCATTTTCAGAGCCATATGAGGCAAGGATGGTTATCCTCATTTTACAGGTCCTGCTTGTGGGTCCTGTACTTGGTTACACAGGAGTCTGTGGCAGAGCTGGGTCTACAATTCAGATGGTCTCAGCTCCGGGACCCATATGCATATTATCTCATCACAGGTGCCTGCTTTTGCTACCTATGTCTTATCTGCCAGGCTGAGGGGTCTTGGACCACACAGAGCCACTTTGGACCCTGGGGTAAGGTGAGCCAGAGAGTTAATAAGTGGGCTCCTCTGCAGGAACTCCAGCACTTTACTGAAAGTGGCTGACACTTTTCTATTAGAATGAGACCAAGAATGACATAGCCACAAAGGACCTTGTCATCCCTGGCATCCTCTGTCTCTTACCTGCTGCAGCCTTGATAATGTGGCTCTAGTTAATCAAGGGCCTCCTTCTGGGAAATGCGATTCCTTTCCCTTAGCTTTCAGTTCCTCGGATAAGCCTAAAGCTGAAGCTGGGAATGGGGATCTGAGCTATAGGGCTGTGTATGGGGCTGATGGCCACAGTCTTGCATATAGGCCTCAAGGCATCCTGTGTGCAGCACTCCCATTTGGAAAATCAGAGGTGTGTGGCCTTGGAATGCTGGCTTGATAGTGGTTGTTCTTGGTTGTACAGTATCTGGTCTAGGGGGTTCAAGCTGCATTGCTGTCAGTTCTGTGGAGCAGACAGGGAGAAAGGTTTCCCCGAGCTCTAGGGCAGAGGCCTGGAATATAAAAACTGCTCCTGTCCATGTTCCTGGCAGGAGGGGTGTTACAGGAAGCCAGGAGTCTGGGCCTGCTATTGTGTGTATATACATAGGTGGGTGTCAGGAGGTATGGGCAGCATGAGCCTGTCAAACATTGTGGTCTTTGAGGCTGTTCTTCCTCATTTCTGAACCTCCCACTTTGCCAGGTATGGGTCCTGGTACACCAGCAGGGCTCACTACACATGTTCTGAGACATCCTTGCCCAAGGGCCTGTAAGATGACATCTTGCCACCAGCCCAGGGTTATGCTTGGAGCTGTGAGGGAAGGCCCACAGGACTCGCTGTTAATGAGAACACTAACTATGGCTGATGTTTGGGTCCCGCATCCCTTGCATTAGTTCTGATTATAATAAATGGTTGTGCACTGATGACGTGTGGTATGTCCAGGTACAAGGACATTAGCTGGTTACCTGAGTAATAGTGGTTACTCTCTAATGTGCTGATTGCATACATGGTATTGGTAACCTACTGCAGTGATTGGTGGTTTGTGGTGTAGTATTTGGATTACATGTGTTAACATGTGGTAAAAGTGGCTACATGGTGTATGTACATAGTTATGTGACAAGGTTACACATGATTATATGATCACATGGCTTGGTACCAACTGGTTGTATACAGGGTGTGGGGGTTTGTTATACTGAGTGATGCTGTGGTTAGTTACATGTGATTCCTATTGGTTACTTTTTGGCTCCATGTAACCTGCAGGTTCCCTGTCACATGCTTACAGAGTGTTTACATGTCCCATGGACCACAGGGCTGTGTTTAATGTATTGGCAGTTAGTTCCAGGGGGACCTTCCAGTGTGTGTGTGGGGGGGCGAGGGGGTGGTTACAGTTCCTTCCTGGGCAGAGATGAGGGCTGAATGGGTGGACAGTGGATAGGGGCTGGGAGTCAGGGGCCCGGTACCTTGGTGGGGCTGTTCCTGTCCAGAGTGCTGGCCTGGCTGGTGGCAGGCCCCCCGCACTCCAGTGCGTAGTAGCTGGAATTGGAAAAGCACTGGGCATGGCTGCTACTTTGAGACAAATCTGGGAAGAGAACAAGTTGCCACATACCATCATACTCTTGCCCCTGGCATGAGATGCCCCAATACTAATGCTTGGGCTGGTCAGTCTTGAGGGTCCTCTGCAAAGGGATAGCCAAGTCCTCCATCCCCCAAACTTTTGGCATCCACTACCCCTACTGAAATTTGTGGAGCCTGATTTCCCCTTCCCTTGCGGTAGCCTTCCCTGAAGCATGCAGGATGCACGGTAATGTTGCCAGTGTGAAGGGTGGCACCAGGAGCATGGATGAGGAAATGTTGGCTTTGACAGCCTCGCTTGTCCCGCAGTCAATACTTAGGGCTGTGCTGATCCTCTCCTGCCTCCCCCCAAGGTTAGATCCCAGTAGTGAGGCCATAAAGAGAAACCTACTCCCCTTGGCTCCAGTCCTGCCCTCCTGCCCTGTGGTTTCCAGGACCTCTTGATAGGGCTGGGGGATTCCAGTGGAATGGCATGGGAAAACCTGGCCAACCTTGCTTATTACAGTCATAGAAGAAAATCCCCAAATCTCTGGGCTTTCATCAGAGGATACCTGCTTTGGTTGAAACCCCAGGGTGGGAGTTGGGAGGTGGCGGGATTGCAGGCCAGGGACTCTGAAGGTAAGGTCTGTATCTGGGCCACCTCCTTCTATCCTGTAGCACCTAGCATGGAGCTGGGCACACGGTAGGCAACATGTAGCAGGAAAGGGCTGACATGATGTTAGTTTTGTAAATACAAGGTGTAGGAGGCTTCATTCAGATCAGCCATGAGCAATGGGGCCAGCTGGAGTGAGCTGTCATCCTTGTGCTCAGGGCTGAGGGCAATTTCAGAGCATTTCAACCTCTTCTTTTTAACTAAATATGAAGCAAAAAGCCTTCCTTATTTCTAAGGCAGCAGTCCAGGGTTGAGGGGAGAGGAAGGATCTGACCCAGGA